CTGAACCCCACCCTGTCACTCTCAAGCTGACAAGAGATTATATGACTACTACAATGAGCAATATCACTAGGGAGACAGCAGTCCTTAGAAGAAATCAACCATCCCCGACCCACTCAGTGCCATTTCACCTCCCAGCGACCCTCTAGGGCAGCGGTTCTCAACCTGTGGGTCCGTGACCCCTTTCACAGGGGTCAAACGACCCTTTCACAGGGGTTGCCGGATTCTTAACAGGAGCAAAATGACAGTGATGAAGTAGCAATGATAATAATGTTATGGTTGGGGGTCGCCACCACCTGAGGAGCTGTCTGAGAGGGTGTTGGGGTTAGGGAGGTTGAGAACCACTGCTCTAGGGGATGTAGCTCTGCCCCCGAGTTTCTGAGGCTTTAAGTTCCTTCCCACTGGTTTTATTGATCTATAGTTCATATAGCATACACTTCCATAATTCAGTGGTACTTTAAGAGAGTTGTATATACATCACCACAATCAGATCTAAAACATCCTCCCCTCCCCTGTATTCATTATTTGCTCCCCCATTTTCCTCCATATCCCCCCAGTGTCATTACACCCATTATCATCTGTAAATATCCACCTATCCATTGTTTCATATACTGGAAAACATACCCCAGAAAGGCAGCAAATGTATTTTAGAAAGAGCGGAAGGAAGGAAGACAGAACTAGTGACAATATTAAAATATTAAAATAAACAAGAGGGGAAAACCTCTGTGGAGAAAAAAAATGCAGGAAATACTTAAAACTAAAACAAATCCAAAAGGAGCCAAGAGGGAGCTCAAATGACCAGGTAACACAATATAGCCCAATTCCGTCTGCCATAATCAAGCTTACAATGCTCTGTCTGAGAGCGAGGTTATCCACGTCCCTCAGCTGTGCTCAGAGAGGATCCACCAGAGGCTGAATCCCCACAGGGCCCCTGCAGATGGACTTGGGGCTTTCACTGCCATCCACAGCCTTCTACAAATTGGGTGTTCACAACTTAAGCGGATATCTTTTCCTCCTTCGTATTTGGATCTTTGTATTTATCATCCTTGGATCTCACAGGCTGGTACGCATCTTCCATGTGGCCTTAGTTGACACTTCACTTAGATGGCTGCTTGTTTGAGTACAAACCTTTAAGATCCCAGACGCTATTCTTTTTGATAGCCAGGCACCATCTGCTTCCTTCACCACCCTTTACTGTAGCACCCATATCTTTAGTGATATCTGTGTGAGGGTGAGCCTCATGAGCGTCATAAGAACTAAATTTTCTTGAATTGGGACTAAAATTAAATGGGAGCCCAAAATCCATTCCACTTGTCTATGGATTATATATGTCTCTGGTTTACTTTAGCGGCCTTGTTCTCGTATTATGACAGAGAACGGGTTCGATCATTCCCCTGGGGTATAAAATAATTCTAATGATAGTGTCAATGGCATGGAACTTCCTACATTGTTGAGAAAGGGAAGGTACCAAGCACAGACAAGCTCTGCAGCACAGTCCGTGAGGGTTCATTTGTACAGACTGAACTCTTACATGATTAAGCTCTGTTTACACTGACCATGGGGCTTGGGGATGGGGGAAATTTCTAGTGACATTCATTCACAAGGGCAGAACTCTGCCTATCATATTCATTTGCATTTCGTAGTCAAGCAAGGAGGGCATTAAAATAGTCTGTGGAGGGTGGTTCTGAGCCACCTTTTGCTGGATTCCCACAAAGCAAAGCTCCTAACCAAGGTCCAGCAACCCTTGACGCCACAGCCGTGGAGCAAACGCATCTGTTTCTTCTCACACCACGGAGCTTCAGTCCTGAGCCCAAGAGCTACAGTTTAGTTTGAGGTAAAGCCCAGGTGGTTCAGTGGGATTTCCACACTGAGTCCTTCTGGTGTGACCTATGAGGGATGCCGTGATCCCCGAAAGGACAGAGCCTAAGGTCCCCATAGTACACAGCACACAGCCTGGGCCACCAAGAGGTGGATAGAAACTAGGTCCGAGTGGCTAATCAGGAACATAGTACCAGGCTTATCCTCCCCTTGGGTTCTCTGTAATTATTGTTGAGTGTCCCTTCCCGATGTGAAGTTGCTCCTCCCCATTTATCCACCAACAGAAGTGTAAATGCCTTCTCCGAAATCTAGATGTCCCCTCCCCTGATCTTGACGTAACTAGAAAGACTCATCTTTCTCCCAAGAAGCAGCCGGTGGGTTTGAACTGCCCAACCCTAATCCACGACACCACCAGAAGAAGAAAAAAAACCTCACTGTCATCAAGTCAATTCTGGTGGCACAGTGGTTAGGAGTTGGGTTGCGATCTGCAAGGTCAGCAGTTCAAAACCACCAGTGGCTCCTCAGGAGAAAGAGGAGGCTTTCTACTCCCGGGAAGAGTTGCAGTCTTGGAAACCCACAGGGACAGTTCTACTCTGTGCTGTAGGGTCGCCACAGGCCACCAAGACCGTTAAGGCCCCTTATAACCAACCATCAGAGCTCAAGGGGGTAACATTTTCCCAGGGATCAAACTCCAGGGACTAGGAGGGATAGGAGAGAAGGTTGGATAGAAATAGCGAACCGGACGGCAGGAAGTGTAGAGAGTACGGTCAACGCCATGAATCCAATTGTTGAATGAAGAACCGACTGGCATCGTTCACCCGAATCACGGATCAGGTTAAATACAAACGAACATTCATTTGGCATTTGGGTTTTGTGGTTTTGCCCTGAAAGCTTTTGCTTCATTTGAGCCTCTTGGGCAACTGAAGCTCAGAGAACAGAAGCCAACACACAGGGAGTCAGTGCCCAAGCAGAGTGGACTGGCGCTCCCTCAGCCTGCCTCCAGTCTGGATGGGGGCATCTTCTAGAAGCTCTTGCAGCTGTTACACAACAGGAAATGCCCCAACCTGGAGCCCCAGCCTGCCGGACTCTTCTAAGAAAGAGGAAGAGAGCTTGTGGCAGGCTCCCGCTGGTGCCTTGTGAGCAGGCAGGAGCTGTTCTGCTTTTGGGTAGGGATGTTTACGAAACAAAGCAGACAGAGCAGACACCCCCTGAGCCTGGGCCACATGACAGGGTTTTGTGAGGCAGGAAAACCCTCAGGTGCTAGGCAATGCCCTCTAATGTTTCCCAGGAAGGAGCCACCTATGCTGAGAACAGGACACTGAGTTACATAATGCCCATCTATCTGCCCCTGGCTCTGCCAACAGGCTCTGGGCGATGGGCTGCTTCACCTGGGACCATCCCTGCACCCTGTGTGTATGTGCCTGTGGGTCTAGGCTAAGGTGATCAGACATCCCGCTTTTGATGGGACAGTCCCAATTTTTAACAATTTGTCCCGTGTCCCACGGCCTTTTTAAAAAGTCCCGATTTTTGGAAAGAATGCAC